CCTGTGAGGGACGTGCCTAAAGAGACGCTAACACAAGCAGTCTCTGGACAGCTACCTAGGCACGGGCCTGCAACCTCTGCCATAGGCTCATGTGGGTTGGGAGTGTCCTGTTCGCGCGCGCTCACTTCTCCACATGGCCTGGAAGTAGGGGCAGTTGCGACCCCTACTGGCGGCTGCCTTTTGCCTGCTGAGTAGCCCAACGGGCCTGTCTATACTTTGGACAAAATTTAATTACGTGCGCCGGGTCACCACAGAATACGCACTGACCCAGGTTCACGCGTTCCTGCCATAAGCGTTGGTCCAAGCCCAGATCTTCCCAGGGCCAGCCCTGCGGCAAGCTTGGGTGCCATCCTCCTTGAGGTGCCCTTCCACCTCCTCGTTGTGGGGACCGGTTACCTTGGCGATTTAATGGGGGACCTTGACCCCTACCTCCCGCTTGGCGGTTTCCCTGTCCACCAACCCCCTGTGCACCCGGTCCTCGGCCTCCCATGGCCTGGCCTCTTTGGCCCTGGCCTCCTCCTCTACCTTGCGGCCTCCCTCCGGCCGCAACAGCAGCGTACGACCTCCCCTGCCCTACACAACTGTACTCCTCCCCTAGGCCCCACTCAATCTAATCATATGGGACCTCTTCTGTACCACCCTCCTTTAATGTCAGGATCAAGTGATCCTTAGCCTTGACTTGGCCCGAGATGGTACGATCTTTCCACTTCTTCCCCTTCTCCAGGTCCTTATGYCAGAAAGTGGTAACTGGCATAGAGTTCGACTCATACAGAACGACTTCTCTACTCAATACATTGTAAGTCATGCCGGCCTGCTGAGATTTGTCAAAGAAATGCCCGCGTAGGGCCTTTGGAATGGCACGATAAAACAACTGGACCAGCTGGGGCTCAGTGACCCCGTGGTCCGGGACGGCTACCAAGTCGTCCATAGTACCCTTGAGTGCCTTAGCACTCCTCCACTGCCGGGAGTGGATTGTTTGGAGCTTATCAGAGGCTCTAATGCCTCGCGTTGGGTCAGCGAACCGCTCCTTGAGGAGCTTCAGGAATTGGGAAAGAGGAGTGACTTTGGAATATGCAACCAGGTTGTTTTCACAACCGGCTGTACGCGCGAGAGACCTGGCGAAGCTAGCCGCTTCGTCCTTCAGGGCCTGGAACGCCACGAGGACTTGCTCCTCTATTAGGATACGTTGTAAGTAAATGTAACTATTGATACTGGTCTCCCAGTTGTCAAAGTTATCGTCCTTCTTTCCCCCGTACGCGTCTGGGAACTTAAGTTTCACTGGGTCCTTACGGGGTTTGCCCTCTCCTTTTACAGCGCCTGCAGCTTTGGCACCCTGAATGGCGCCCTCACAAAACTTCCCTACATTGTCTCTCAACTGTTTGACTTCGCCCCCAATGTGGGTGACGATTTCGCTCGCAAAATCCCTAAACCCGAACCGCATGGCACTCAACGCTACATCCTGGCTCCAGCTTGCCTGATGCTCCTCCATCCAGGCCTTGCTCAACACCTCTAGATAGCCCAGTACTTTGTCCCACTTGGCCTTATCATCTTGTTGGGCCAGCACCTCCGCGCTACACTCCTGCACCTTCGCCACTGTTGCGGTCATCTTATTCACTTCCTCTCTCCTCCTCTTCTTCTCCCTCTTCATTCTCAACTTCCATGCTAACTTTTGCTCGTCTTCCCTCTCTCTTCGTTCCATTGGGTTTGTCATGGCTGCTAGCTTTGCGGTCAGCGCAGCCTTCTCATCCTTAGTCACATAGGACTCCGCCTCCTCGTCTTCCCCCAACGATGAATTAGCGACCCACTCGCTGATCTTCTTCTCCAGCTCAGTGTCTGTCTCCCACTTCATCGTGCCACCACTGCTCCCTTCTCCACTCTCAATTTTCATTCTCTCATTCTCTTCTTCTGCTGCCGCTTCTGCTTTAGCAGCTTTTCTTTTTTTTTCCTCCTCTTGTTGCACTCTCTTCATCTCCTCCTCCAACCTCTTCATCTTCGCCGCCTGCTCATCTGCGATAGCCTTTAGCTTCGCCTGCTTCTCACGCTCTCTTCTCTCCTTGTTCTTTTTCACTAAGGCGGCCATCTTTGCTTGCTGCTCAGGGGTGTAGGAACTAGTCTCCGTCCCACTACGGGTCTCAACCATGGTGATAAGTGTACAACCGGGTTAGTGGTTCCAAACCTCACCTCGTAGACTCTGACCCCTGACTGACAAACCTATAGACTCGATCT